GTTGATTTGTACAACGGGATATTTTTCAATACTTCCTCTCAGCTTACGTACAAAGTATGTTTATTTTGAGTGTTCTAGAGGAGCACTAAGAAAGGCAGATCTACCAAGCTATTTTATTTACTTTGAAACATTCATGATATCTATTTACTCGATTTTAGTTTCTCCCGTAACACTTTTACGACCTAGTTGACTGTAACGATCTTGTTCGGTGTTAGGCGAGCATGTTTACAATAACACAGGTGATGGCCGGGGCGTAGCTCAGATGGTAGAGCGCTCGCTTAGCATGCGAGAGGTACGAGGATCGATGCCCGCGCTTCCAATGATTTTTTCTCGTGTAAAATATTTTTGACATTCGGTTGATTTGTACAACGGGATATTTTCAATACTTCCTCTCAGCTTACGTACAAAGTATGTTATATTTTGAGTGTTCTAGAGGGAGCACTAGAAAGGCAGATCTACCAAGCTATTTCTATTTACTTTGAAACATTCTATGATATCTATTTACTCGATTCTAGTTTCTCCCGTTACACTTTTAACTGACCTAGTTACTGTAACGATCTTGTTCAGGTGTTAAGGCGAGCATGTTTACAATAACACAGGTGATGGCCGGGGCGTAGCTCAGATGGTAGACGCTCGCTTGGCATGCAGGAGGTGCAGGGGATCGATACCCACTTCAATAGTTTTTCGTACTTGAAATATTTTGAGGAAATTGGGGTTGGTTGTACAGCGGGATGTACAATACTTCCTCTCAGCTTACATTACAAAGTATGTCTTTATATTTTGGAAGAGTGTTCTAGAGGAGCTACTAAAAAGAAAAGCAGATCTAAGCTATTTCCTATTTACTTTTCCCCAAACAGTCTATGATATCTATTTACTCTGATTCTAGTTCTCCCATGCCACTGCCCAAGCCTAGATTTACTGTAACGCGATCTTGTTCATGAATTATTTAAGGCGGAAACTGTCTTTACAATACTTACAGGTGATGGCCGGGGGCGTAGCTCAGATGGGTAGAGCCGCTCCTTATGACGAGAGGTTTTGGGGATCAATACCCCGCCTCCAATGATTTTTCATGCTTAAATATTTTTTGAAATTCAGTTTGATTTGTAGCAGATATTTTTCAATACTTCCTCTCAGCTTACATACCAAAGTATATTTATATTTTGCGTGTTCCAGAGGGGCACTAAAAGCAAGATCTACCAAATATTTCTATTTGCTGAAACATTCTATGATATCTATTTACTCGATTCCTGAGTTTCTCCCGTAACACTTTACTTAGCCCTAGATTTACTGTAACTTGAAGATCTTGGGCTGGGTGTTAAGTCCCAGGCATATTTACAATACTTACAGGTGATGGCCGGGGCATGGCTCAGATGAGTAGAGCGCTCGCTTACCATACTAAGTACGGATCGATGCCCCCGCCGCTAACAAATGATTTTTTCGGCGAAATGATATTTTTGAAATTCGGTTAGTTTGTACAGCAGGATATTTTTAATGCGCCTCTCAGCTTACAAGAACATGTATATTTTGGTGTTCCCAGGGCACAAAGCAGCAAGATCTACCAAATAACCTATTTACTTTTTAGAAACCCATTCTATGATATCACTCGGTCTAAGTTTTCTCCGTAACAATTTTAACTGACCTAATTTACTGCCAACGATCTTGTTCAGGTGTGTGCAAAGGCGAGCATGTTTTACAATACTTGGGGAGATGGCCGGGGGCGTAGCTCCAGATGGTTGAGCACTCCCCGCTTAGCGCCACACTTTTTGAAGTGCAGGATCGATACCTTCCAATAGTTTTTTTCGTAAATATTTTTGAAATTGGTTTGGTTGTACAGCAGGATGTACCAATACTTCCTCTCAGCTTACGTACAAGTATGTTATATTTTGCAGTGTTCTAGAGGGAGCACTAAGAAAAAGCAGATCTACCACCAGCTAACTTCTAATAGCTACTTTTGAAACCATTCTATGATATTTGCTATTTACTCGATTCTAGTTTCTCCCACGTAACACTTTGTGACCCTAGTTATAGCAACGATCTTGTTCAGGTGTTAAGGCGAGCATATTTACAATAACACAGGTAAGCGGGGCGTAGCTCCAGATGGTAGAGCGCTCGCTTGTGCAGAGGTTACGGGGATCGATACCCGCGCTTATCGGAGGATTTTTTCACGTTAGCAAAATATTTTGAAATTGGTTGTACAGCAGGATGAGCGCAATACTTCCTCTCAGCTTACATTACCTGCGGTATATTATATTTTGCTGGAGTGTTCTAGAGGCACTAAGAAGAGCAGATCTACCAGCTATTTCTATTTGCTGGAAGCATTCTATGATATCAACTGATTCGTTTCTCACATTAACACTTTTAACTGACTGGTGCACTGTAACAGTCTTGTTCCAGGTGTTAAAGGCGGAAACATGTTCTGTCGCCGGTGATATGGCCAGGGCATGGCTCAGATGTGGTAGCGCGCTCGCTTGGCATGCCCCGAGGTACGGGGATGCCCCGCTTCCAATGGTTTTCGTGTAAAATATTTTTGAAATTCGGTTGGTTGTACAGCGGGATATTTTTCAATACTTCCCTCTCAGCTTACGTACAAAATTATATTTATATTACAGGTGTTCTAGAGGGCACTCTAAAGAAACCAGATCTACCAAGCTATTTCTATTTACTTTGGAAGCAATTTCTATGATGTCTATTTACTCGATTCGTTTCTCCCGTAGCACTTTTAGCTGACCTGGATTTACTGCTGATCTTGTTCTGAGTGTTAAGGCAGAGCAGCCTTTTCTGTCACCACAGGTGAGCGGCCGGGGCGTAGCTCAGATGGTAGAGCCTTTCGCTTAGCATGCGCGAGAGTGCAGGGGATCGATGCCCCGCGCGCTAACAATGATGATTTTTTCGGTAAATATTTTTTGAAATTCAGTTGATTTGGCACAGCAGGTCTTGCTAATGCACCTCTCTTACGTACAAGTATAATTTATATTTTGAGTGTTCGAGGAGCATAAAATATGTAGATCTACCAAGCTATTTCTATTTACTTTGGAAACATTCTATGATATCTATTTACTCGATTCCTAGTTTTATGCTTACTAACTAGCCCTAGTTACTGCAACGATCTTGTTCCAGATTATTCATTCAGGGCATGTTTACAATAACACCAGGTGATGGCCCACAGGGCAAGCTCAGAATGGTAGCGGCAGCTCGCTTACCATGCACTAGAAGTAGGGGATCGATGCCCCGCGCTAACAATGATTTTTTTTTTCGTGTAAAATATTTTTTGAAATTCGGTTACGGATTTGTACAGCAGGATATTTTTCAATAATACTTCCCTCTCAAGCTTACATTAAAGTATATTTATATTTTGGAAGAGTGTTCCAAGAGGGAGCACTAAGAAAACCAGATCTGCCTTCTTCTATTTGCTGAAGCAATTCTAAATTATCTATTTACTCAGTTCGTTTCTCCCGTAACACTTTAAGGGTCTCAGGGGAGTTAAATTTTTCTAAGAGGTCACAGAAAATGCAACAGATTTTCAAAACAGTTATAGATTAAAATTAAGATTTAATAGTTCAGATCTTTTTACACAGCTATTTATAAAAGAATGGGAAGCTGAAAAGCTATGAAATAGTTTCCAAAAATATAATCTATAATTTTAAAATCATAATATATAGACATTCTATGATAAATAATAAATTATTTTTGCGTTTGCGCACATGTACCTAAAATAGTAGTATCAGTGTATAAAAATTTATAGGAATTATAAAATGCATCCCATGCTCTGCAGCCTACTAATTTGAAAATTATTATATGTCTTTTTGTATTTCAAAATGTTGCTTAAACATTGCAATTTTTAAATATTTTTTTAAAATGTAGCTTTATTTATTAAAATAATGTAGTTATTATTCTATTTATATAAAATAGCTATAGTGTAATGAGAATACGTTTAACTTTATTATTCAACTTATAACATAAATGATAAGCTACTATTTACAGAAAATAGCATATAACGCAAAAATACTTAATATTTATCATAAATTTTCATATGCTTATAGAGTTTTAAAATTATGATTATATTTTAAACTTGACTATATACTTTTCTAGAAGCCCATTTTTTTATAAATAATATAAAATTTAGATCATTTAAATTTAATTTAAAAGATGCGAAGGTGTTTATATTTTCAGACCTCTAGAAAAATTATAAGGACCCTTAACTGACCTAGTTACTGTGGCACGATCTTGTTCAGGTGTTAGAAAGGCGAGGCATGTTTACAATAACGCAGGAGATGGCCGGGGCGTAAGCTCCAGATGGTTGAGCGCTCGCTTAATGCGGGGAGGTACGGGGATCGATGCCCGCGCTTACTGTAAATTTTTCGTACTTAAAATATTTTTGAAATTCGGTTGATTTGTACAACGGGATATTTTTCAATACTACCTCTCAGCTTACGGTATTACCAAAGTATATTTATATTTTGAGTGTTCTAGAGACGCACTAAGAAAACCTACCATTTCTTCTATTTACTTTGAAACATTCCTGAGTATCTTACTCGATTCTAGTTTCACCACGCCAAGCGCTTTTAGCAGCCTAGATTCTGGCGATCTTGTTCGGGTGTTAAGGCGAGCATGTTTACAATAACACAGGTAGTGGGGGCGTAAGCTCGAGCCCTCACTTAGCATGCACAGAGAGAGTGCAGGGATCGATGCCCCGCACTTCCATGATTTTTTTCGTGCCAAAATATTTTTGAAATTCGGTTGATTTGGCCTGTGGGATATTTTCAATACTTCCTCTCAATACATTACCAAAGTATGTTATATTTTGAGTGTTCACAGAGGGAGCACTAAGAAGGCAGATCTGCAAAGCTATTTCTATTTACTTTGAGCATTCTATGATATCTATTTACTCGATTCTAGTTTCTCTCCCATTAACAAATTTAACTGGCCTAGATTCTGTAACGATCTTGTTTCCAGGTGTTAAAAGGCGAAACATAATTTTACAATACTCTTACAGGTGATGGCCAGGCGTAGCTCAGTAGGTAGAGCGCTCGCTTGGCATGCGAGGAGGTGCGAGGGCGATACCACGCCTCCAGCCTGGATTTTTTTTCACATGCCAAAATATTTTTTGAAATTCGGTTGATTTGTACAACGGGATATTTTTCAGCTCCTTTCCTCTCGGCTTACGTACAAAGGTAATATTTATATTTTTGAGTCATTCGAGGAGCACTAAAGGCAGATCTACCAGCTTCTTCATATTTACTTTGAAACATTCTATGATATCTATTTACTCGATTCTAGTTTCTCCCGTAACACTTTTAACTGACCTAGTTACTGTAACGATCTTGTTCAGGTGTTAAGGCGAGCATGTTTACAATAACACAGGTGATGGCCGGGGGCGTAGCTCAGATGGTAGAGCGCTCGCTTAGCATGCGAGAGGTACGGGGATCGATACCCCGCGCTTCCAATGATTTTTTTTTCGTGTAAAATATTTTTGAAATTCGGTTGATTTGTACAACGGGATATTTTTCAATACTTCCTCTCAGCTTACGTACAAAGTATGTTATATTTTGAGTGTTCTAGAGGGAGCACTAAGAAGGCAGATCTACCAAGCTATTTCTATTTACTTTGAAACATTCTATGATATCTATTTACTCGATTCTAGTTTCTCCCGTAACACTTTTAACTGACCTAGTTACTGTAACGATCTTGTTCAGGTGTTAAGGCGAGCATGTTTACAATAACACAGGTGATGGCCGGGGGCGTAGCTCAGATGGTAGAGCGCTCGCTTAGCATGCGAGAGGTACGGGGATCGATACCCGCGCTTCCAATGATTTTTTTCGTGTAAAATATTTTTGAAATTCGGTTGATTTGTACAACGGGATATTTTTCAATACTTCCTCTCAGCTTACGTACAAAGTATGTTATATTTTGAGTGTTCTAGAGGGAGCACTAAGAAAGGCAGATCTACCAAGCTATTTCTATTTACTTTGAAACATTCTATGATATCTATTTACTCGATTCTAGTTTCTCCCGTAACACTTTTAACTGACCTAGTTACTGTAACGATCTTGTTCAGGTGTTAAGGCGAGCATGTTTACAATAACACAGGTGATGGCCGGGGGCGTAGCTCAGATGGTAGAGCGCTCGCTTACCATGCTAGAAGTACGGGGATCGATGCCCCGCGCTAACAATGATTTTTTTTTCGTGTAAAATATTTTTGAAATTCGGTTGATTTGTACAACGGGATATTTTTCAATACTTCCTCTCAGCTTACGTACAAAGTATGTTATATTTTGAGTGTTCTAGAGGGAGCACTAAGAAAGGCAGATCTACCAAGCTATTTCTATTTACTTTGAAACATTCTATGATATCTATTTACTCGATTCTAGTTTCTCCCGTAACATTTAACACCTGGTTACTGTAACGATCTTGTTCAGGTGTTAAGGCGAGCATGTTTACAATAACACAGGTGATGGCCGGGGCGTAGCTCAGATGGTAGAGCGCTCGCTTAGCATGCGAGAGGTACGGGATCGATGCCCCGCGCTTCCAATGATTTTTTTTCGTGTAAAATATTTTGAAATTCGGTTGATTTGTACAACGGGATATTTTTCAATACTTCCTCTCAGCTTACGTACAAAGTATGTTATATTTTGAGTGTTCTAGAGGGAGCACTAAGAAAGGCAGATCTACCAAGCTATTTCTATTTACTTTGAAACATTCTATGATATCTATTTACTCGATTCTAGTTTCTCCCGTAACACTTTTAACGACCTAGTTACTGTAACGATCTTGTTCAGGTGTTAAGGCGAGCATGTTTACAATAACACAGGTGATGGCCGGGGGCGTAGCTCAGATGGTAGAGCGCTCGCTTAGCATGCGAGAGGTACGGGGATCGATACCCCGCGCTTCCAATGATTTTTTCGTGTAAAATATTTTTGAAATTCGGTTGATTTGTACAACGGGATATTTTCAATACTTCCTCTCACTTACGTACAAAAGTATATTTATATTTTAGGTGTTCTAGGGGCACTAAGAAAACAGAATCTAATATTTCCTATTTACTTTGAAACATTCTATGATATCTTTACTCGATTCTAGTTTCTCCCGTAACCTTTTAAGCCTAGTTCGTAACGATCTTGTTCGGTGTTAAGGCGACATGTTTACATAACACAGGTATGCGGGGCGTAGCTCCCCGATGGTAAGCGCTCGCTTAGCTAAAGGAGGTACGGGGATCGATCCACCCCCCTTCAATGATTTTTTCGTGTAAAATATTTTTGAAATTCGTTGATTTGTACAACAGATATTTCAATACTTCTTCACTTACGTACAAAATATTTATATTTTGGGTGTTCTAGAGGGAGCACTAAAAAAGACGATCTACCAAGTATTTCTATTTACTTTGAAACATTCTATATATCTTTTACTCGATTCTAGTTTCTCCCGTAACACTTTTAACCGACCTAGTTACTGTAACGATCTTGTTCAGGTGTTAAAGGCGAGCATGTTTACAATAACACAGGTGATGGCCGGGGCGTAGCTCAGATGGTAGAGCGCTCGCTTAGCATGCGAAGTACGGGGATCGATACCCGCGCTTTCCCAAAGATTTTTCGTGTAAAAAAATTTTGAAATTCGGTTGATTTGTACAACGGGATATTTTTTAATACTTCCCCTCCGCCGGGAGATATTTTGATGTTCGAGGGCACTAAGAAAAACAGATCACCAACTTCTATTTTTTGAAACACTATGAAAACTATTTATATTCTTTTTCCCTAACATTTTAACTGACCTGTTACCGCGATCTTGTTCGGGTTAAAAGGGGAGCATGTTTACAATAACAGGGATGGCCGGGGGGGTGCCAAGGTGAGCGCTCGCTTAATGCGAAGGTACGGGGGCTCCCCGCGCTTCCAGATTTTTTTTGTGTAAAATATTTTTTTAAATTCGGTTGATTTTTACAACGGGATATTTTCAATACTTCCTCTCACTTACTACAAAGTATGTTATATTTTGAGTGTTCAGAGGGGGCACTAAAAAAGGAACACCAAGATTTCTATTTACTTTGAAACATTCATGATATCTATTTACTCATTCTAGTTTCTCCCCTAACAATTTAACACCTGTTTCTGTAACGATCTTGTTCGGTTTAAGGCGAATGTTTACAATAAAAAGGGGCCGGGGCTGCTCAGATGGTTGAGCGCTCGCATGCAGAGGTACGGGGGTCGATCCCCGCGCTTCAATGATTTTTTTCGTTGGAAAATATTTTTTAAATTCGGTTATTTTGTGGAACAATACTTCCCCCAGCTTTTAAAAAAAATGTTATATTTTGAGTGTTCTAGAGGGGGACTAAGAAAACAGTCTACCAAGCTATTTCTATTTTCTTTGAAAAAATTCTTATATTTTTTTCTGTTTGTTTCTCCCGTAACCTTTTACGCCTAGTTACTGTAACGACTTGTTCGGTGTTAAAAGGGAGCATGTTTACAATTTAAAAAAGGTGATGGGGGGGCTCGATGGTGAGGCTCGTTTTGCGAGGGGTCGGGGATCGTACCCCGGGTTCCCAAAGATTTTTTTTGTGTAAAAAATTTTTTTAAATTCGGTTGATTTGCCGGATATTTTTCAATATTCCTCTCCACTACAAAGTATGTTATATTTTGGTGTTCTAGAGGGGGCACTAAGAAAAAGGGAAAATTAAGCTTTTCATTTCTTTGAAACATTCTATGATATCTATTTACTCGATTCTAGTTTCTCCCGTAACACTTTAACTGACCTGTTCCAACGATCTTGTTCAGGTGTTAAGGCGAGCGTTTACAATAACAGGTGATGGCCGGGGGGTAGCTCGATGGTAGACGCTCGCTTAGCATGCGGGGTACGGGGATCGATACCCCCCCCCAATTTTTTTTCGTGTAAATATTTTGAAATTCGTTGATTTGTAAAAGGGATTTTTTTCTTTTCCCTTAAACACTTAAAAAGAAATTTATTTTTTTGGTGTTCTGGGGCACAAAAAACAGACCCCGCTATTTATTTATTTTAAAAACTTCTAGTTCTTTTACTCATTCTGGTTTCCCCTAACCTTTTACTCCTGTTACTTGGGTCTTGTTCGGTTTTAAGGGACATTTTCAATCCCCGGTGGGCCGGGGCGGCCCCAGATGGTAGCGCGCTCCCCATGCAGGAGGTACGGGGGATCGATACCCCCCTTCAATGTTTTTTTTCGTTAAAATTTTTTTTGAAATTCGGTTAAATTTTTTACAGCGGGATTTTTTTCAATATTTTCCTCCATTACTTACAAAGTATGTTAATTTTGAGTGTTCAAGGGGCAAAAGGGCAGATCCCAAGCTATTTCTATTTTTTTGCATTCTATGTTTCTTTTATGATTCTAGTTTCCCCAACACCTGACCTTTTTCCAACGATCTTGTTCTGGTTTAAGGCGACTGTTTACTCCAGGTGAGGGCCCGGGGGGGCGGCTCGGGATGGTGACGCTCGCTTGCATGCGAGGGGGGGGATCGATGCCCCCCCTAACAATGTTTTTTTCGTTAAAAATTTTTGTTGGGTTGATTTGTACAAGGGATATTTTTCAATCTTCCTTCAGCTTCTTACAAAAGTATGTTTATTTTTGGTGTTCTGGGAGCACTAAAAAAACAGATCTCCGTATTTCTATTTCGGGTTCTATGATATCTATTTCCGTTCAAAGTTTCTCCAAATTTTCGCCTAGTTATGTCGATCTTGTTCAGGTTTTTCGACATGTTTAAAAACACGGGGGGTTGGCCGGGGGGTCCAGATGGTAGGCCTCGCACCGCTAAATAGGGGGTCGATCCCCCGCGCTAACAATGTTTTTTCGTGAAAAATTTTTTTAAATTCGGTTGTTTGTACAACGGGTTTTTTCAATATTCCTCTCAGCTTATACAAAGTATGTTATTTTTTGAGTTTAGAGGGGCATAAAAAAAGGCGATCTACCAAGCTTTTTTTTTTCTTTAAAACATTCTTGATATCTATTTCTCGATTCTGTTTCCCCCGAAACCCTTTTAAAAGGGTCTCAGGGGATTTAAAATTTTTTTCGAGGTCTGAAAATATAAACAATTTTCCCAGTTATAATTTTTTAAAATTAAATTTAATGATTCAATTTTTTACATTTTTTAAAAAAGAAGGGGTTAAAAAAAAATAAAAATTTTAAAATATAATCTTTTTAAAATCATAACATATGAAATTCTATGATAAATAAAGTATTTTTTGCGTTGCGCTTTTTTCAAAATGTATTTATGTATAAAAAATAAAATTTTATCATACTCTTTAAGCCCCCCTAATTTTAGTATTATATGTCTTTTGTATTTCAAAAATTTTGAAAAAATTGCAATTTTTTTAAAAATTTTTAAAAAATTTTGTTTTATTTATTAAAAAATGTAAGTTTTTTCTTTTTTATAAAAATATATAGTTAATGAGAATACATTTCTTTATTATTCAACTTATACTAAAAAT